GGGTTCTTAATTCGCTGGCAAAAAATCATTCCAAAAATGCGTGCATCCGCGCATTCATGCGCCTAGAAGGATTGACAACAGCAAGCATTTGCAACATTGTTCTGTTGAGATGCACTTGCAACAATGCTCCGTTGAGATTACCACAAGGCTTGGTACGCAACAACGAACCAACAGCACCTCTTCATGGAGAGTTCGCTGTTTGCCCATCCTAGGGCTGCAGATGTCTTCAACCGATATTACACAAACCCTGGCGGTTCGTGTATGATTTTCCATGGCTTTGTTCCCAAGATTGAAACGGGTAGTCTCAAAACCGGTGGACAGCATCATGCAGTTTTGCCTTCAAGGCTGAGCTTTCGATCTCACAGGTTATCGCAAATGCCCTATGTAGTGTTTGGAAGAGTCTTGAGACGTTACCCAACTGATCTCGCCCCGGAAGGGCCCCTCCACGATGTCTTGCGAAAATGTCAGGTGCCATCACCCATAAATCCTTGTAATTTGGCTGATTATGCTTGTTTGGGGGCTGCATACGGTCATGCCCGGGCCTATATACTAGGTATTCCTCATGGACTAGTGTCCGAGCTTGACAGAAGGGATGATGGTGGTTGCTTGGATAGCCATCGTAAGATGTGTGACAATAACGTACAATCAGAATGCCGCCCATATAGCGGCATTCAATGGTTACACTTGCCGTTGCAATGCCAGCCGCAAATCATTTGCAGGCTTCTGTTGATCTGAGTTTTCAGATAGACTGTCCGCTGGCAGAACCCAGAAGTACGTTACTTATGATGCTTGCAGCTTGGCCTTATGGGGCCCTCGAGTGAAGTTCGTCTCACTGCCGAACTATTTGAGGAACCCAGGCCCCTGCGGACCGTGCCCTGCAGAGTGCCGGATCGTAAAGTTCTACAGGATCCTAGATTACTGGACAATCCTTGTCACGTATGTTTTCTCAGGCACGCCGAGAATTATGTGAACTCCGATGTATGGCTCGCTGCTGGAAGTGACAGCAGCGTAAATCGAACTTCAGCTTAAAGCCAGCGGTCTTTGCCTAACCCGGACCTGAGCAGACAAGACATGCAAGCCCGACGCAATCGGGACCTGGAGTCTCAAGGAGTCATCTCCTTTCCAAAATTCATAGGTCCTGTCAAAGGATTGGCGGAAGGGGTCCCAAAGCAAGAGAGCTGCCTGAACAAGAGATTAGCAAAGAAGCGTTATCTTTGATTGATCGATGAGTTTCTCCTTCTTGCTCATTCTATGTAGAGTGTAGAAGTAGCTCCCTCTTGCCCCTTGGCCCGCTACCGTTGGGATCTGTGCGTGGCTGATCAATTCCTGGAAGGTTCGCTGTAGACGCGGTCAATTAATGATTCCCGGGGCCATTACAAGAAAGAAGGAACACCAAGACCCTGACCACAAATCTTGACATGGTAGCAAATTCTGTACACATCGTGAACAACGTAATATGGGCCAGCCCAAAACCGAAAGGCATTGAAGAGGGTCTCCTAACCTTAGTTGGTCTTAACCTCGTTTAGATAAAGCCTCCACCCTCGTCTGGTATGCATTGGTATATGCACCCAAACTCCCGCTGTAGTCCAGCGGATAGATGCTGCGGTCTGAATCATGGGGTGAGCCTACCATGAGGGGTCCTGCTAGGTCTTGTATTATGCATTTCGAGCATTGTAGTCTTAGCAGCGTTCCCCTCCCTGGGGATGTCAGCCTGCAACTGCTGCCATCCTGCAATTGCTACAGACTGCAGCTCCAGCGGGTCCATATCACATATAGCCTCTGTGGGGGGTATGTTTGGGTGTCTTTAAACAGGCCTTGCAATGTGCACATTCAGCCGCGCATCTTGCCAGCCGAGTCCTCGTGCAAAAAGCTCCTGATGTGCAATTGGTTACGAGCTTCCTTTCAGTTGCAACTGTTGCTACTCCTAGTACGGTTGCCTTATTATCATCATTCATACCGTCATACCATTGTCATACCATTGATGTTGCCGCTCCACCGGGTTTCTGGTGGCGCCAGGGGCACACGTCTCTTCAGATTGAGATCGGATGCGCATGTCTTCATGAGATAGGCCGGATAGGCAAATAAGGAATTTTCATAGAAGTCCATATGGGGTTTCCAAAAGTTAGAGGTGCCATTTTGAGGGTCTCTATAGTCTATAATGTAAGGGTTATAATATCATGGGGTCCATATTGGGGTCCCCCTGTTTTTGGGAAAGTACCATATTTTCCCTCTTGCCTGCAGACGCCACTGGAGGCCTTCAGAGATTCGATAGCTCGACAGCTCCCACCATCCTGAACCCTGCGCAAGACTTCGAGCCCGGTTCTAGCATCGCCGATGTGGTGCTTCCTACAAGGTTCCTGAAAATAATTCTGAATTTCTGTTACCTAGAATCCTAATATTTAGCTGAAATTATAATTTCCACTGGGGTTCCAAATCCCTTAGAGCTTCCTCTTGTATTTACCAACCGCTTTCCCCCATAAGCTGGATTGCTGCTGAGGAACATAGTCTAAGCTACCATCATATGGGTGTATATATATATATAGTACATAATTGGGTTTCAGTATGAGAGTAATTTTAAACAAGTTCCTTAACAGCAACCCAGTAACACCTCAGAGCACGAATGTAGGCTCTGAAGCACAGGGCTCAGAGGTGGCTGAGTTTAGATTTCGCAGTCTACTGAGACAGAAACCATGGCGGCTGGGATGAACAAACTGCAGGGAAGTGGTTGAAGGAACATACAGTCTACTGACTGGAGATCAGCAGGGTATATGTGGTATGTTAAATCGGGATAATATGGGGATTATATTCCTTTATCCACTACTAAGACTAAGAACCAGTAAGTTCAGGGTGTAGAGCGCAGGGGTGGAGGCGAAGCTGTTGCCAGCAGAAATGTTGTAGCAGGTTCAGGGCATTCAGCAGCGAACATCTCTAAAACTACATGCGCTGCTTCAAGTTCTGGGCTTCGATGAATCACCCCCAAAATCCGGGATCGGTGTTGTTGTTATCGGTAAGGTGTGCGCGCCCGCCAGACAGCGACCTAATTATACATGCTCGAGTGGAAAAAAGCGAGACAAGCAAGAAAACATCAAATCACCCTGGGTACCAGAGCTGGTCAGGATTGGTCCGCAGACTTTGGCGGATGCCTCGTTGACAACATGGAGGAGATAGCTACCTAGTGGTTTGAGTACTGTTTCGGTGGGCGTCAAGATCTATGTATACTGCCCTTTGGGCAGCGGCTGGCATGAAGCACGTCTAGTAGGTCTCCTATACCTTCTTCAGGTCCAAGTTCCTAATCAATTGCTTGCTGAAGAAGTGTTGAGATTGCCACAGGTCACCTAGCCTGTCTAAGGTTGCAAGCCAGCCTCCAGCATGATTTAGATGAATAAAAACGACAATAAAGATAGTAGTAGTTGTAGAAGTAGTAGTAGTAGTAGTAGTAGTAGTGGTAGTGGTAGTGGTAGTGGTAGTAGTAGTAGTAGTAGTAGGAGGAGTAGTCGTAGTACTAGGAGGAGTAGTAGTAGTAGTAGTAGTAAAAGTAATAGTAATAGTAATAGTAATAGTCTGAGTCATAGTCATAGTAATAGTCATAGTCATAGTAATAGTCATAGTCATAGTAATAGTAATCATAATAGTAATAGTCGTAGTAATAGTCATAGTAATAGTAATAGTAATCGTATTAGTAATAGTAATAGTAATCGTATTAGTAATAGTAGTAAAAAGTTATAACGTTGACCTAGCTGTCATAGCAACTTCCAGCTGGATTTCATGGCGCAGCAATCTTTTTACACATGTGGCCAGCAATTTGCAGCGTTGCGGGTTTACTTGGCAGTTTCCACAAAGGGTATTCAAAACTTTGGGAAAGCCTCTCTTGCAGAAGAGGACGGGCCGAAAGCCATTGTTCCGGAGCGCTGCCCTCACAGCTTGGGATACCCTAAGCGTCCAAGTACTCAAGTCTTGGGATTTCAAGCACCCTAAATCCTCATACTGGGGTGCCCTGAACCTTAGGGATAGGCTGAGGAGGGTTGAAAGGGATTGCCAGTGTTGCAGCGGAGCCTCAGTCCCTATCAGTTCCCTTTATAGTATATCGTCGTATCATAAACGTATGAGTATAGTACATTATAGTACATCGGGAATATTTATGGTTTCGTTCTTGCTGCTTATGTCGCACGTGTTACCAGATCACCTGTAGGCTGTGCAGACTGCCCGGCCGCCAGCTCAAGCAAGCAGAAGATCCTCCTGACTGCCAAGGTTTAACTCCCTCGTAGCCTTCTTAGTGCCTCGAGAGCACTGGGTGACGTGCTGAGTTCTGTCGATGCAGCGCATAGCAGGCGATCATGATTCCCTCCCCAATAAGCTCGTTTCTTTGACGCCCTGATGATGCTCTGCCTTTGTTCAGAGATGCTCGAACTACTTGAGGAAAGCGCTGGCAAGGTGAACAAGGGGTTTCATTTGCTAGGCGAAGCACAGCTTGCCTCTTGAATCAGACCTTGCCATGTGCAGCCTGAACTAGTGAGAAGAACCAGCAGCACTGAAGGGTCTGACCCCGACGGGCTCCAAGTCTCTCGACCATCCAAGTGGGGACTGTTCATGTCGCGCTCCCAAATGTGCAATCATTTCCCAAGCACGTCAGAAACCCTTATTCTGCACAGCGCGGTCCCGATGAAACTCCTTCATCATGCATGTGAAGTGCTCAGGCATCCGCATATGTAGGCATACTTCAAAGGATAGGGATCTTGCGGCATGTACGCTAGCTGTTTTTCAAAAACAGCACGAATCATATTATAGAGAGTCTGCCGAAATTTGGAAACCTGGATATCATGTCCATGTGGAATGCCCAGGTTTCGGAGATGAAAGAAGGTAGCCCCCTCCGCAGAGACCTCAGCCTCGGGTCAGAAATATAGAGCTCCAAAAAGGGGTTTACTATTACGGCCAAAAAGGGAGCTGATTTTTGTTTTGTTTTTTGGGGAAGGTGGGGCTTGTTAAGCAGAATGATTCTAGTATAATCTAGTGCTATTGTCTATCCCATCGTTATGGAATTAGCACATTACCTAGACCCTTCCATCTACCCTGTATATACCCTATAAATACCCACTATTGGGGACCATCTACCCCTATTTAAGGGTACAAGGAGGGTCCTGGTAAAGATGCTTCAACTCATGGTAAGAGTGGGGATCCTGTCTACCCTTCAGCATATAGTCCCCCTTAAGTAGATAGAATATGGCTTTGAGTACGTTATAATAAGATCTTCATATACCCCATATTCTATCTACTTAAGGGGGGGCACTACCCTAAACCCTAAATAGCAGTTTCCATGTTCTTTTCCATTATCCCTAAATAACCCCTATAACCCTTATATTCTATCTACTT